AATTTTTTTTTTTTTTTGCAGGGCGGCAAAACTGGCTAGAAAAAGATGAATTGGAATTTCTAGAAGTGTTGGAAAATCACTGCTAGGATTTTAAAAAAATCTCTCAAGGAATGAGAAAAACAGCAGAATAAAGAACACATTAATCAACTGATAAATAGATGAAGAACACATTAATCAACTGTTAAATAGAACAGGATTCTGGAACACAATGGAAAATGGCAAAAAAAGAAAATGAAAGTTAAATAATAGGGAAGATAAACCCAGAAGTTACACCATTTATCCAATAAGAGTTCAAGGAGAACAAAGTGGATAACAACAGTAATAATTGACATCTGGGCACAAAATGAATTATATGATGCCAGAAGAGAACAGAGCAAGGGAAGTAAAGTGCAATTCAAGAAAAGGACACCCAGTCAAGCATAAACACAACGGAATTTTCTGGAAAAAATGACTAGAATATCATAGCTCACCACAAGATTAATAGAAAAGCCATGCCCAAACAATATTCATGCCAGAAGAAACAAAGCAACTTATACAAAATGGAGAGTCAGAGGGCACTGCATCCACAAGTCTTTGGAAAAAACAGTGTGTGGGTGAAACTGAGGCAACCAACAGATAAAATAAAGAAAAGGAGAGGTGGTGAGAGATGACTTATAAACACAGAACCCAGAACCTAGACTCTACTGCTTCTCAACTGGGGGAGGAATTGACGGTGACAAATTAGAAAGTAACAATAACAACAAGGTATCAGGAGACAGTGAGAAGTAAAAACTAATTTCTTCAACTCTCATAACAGGAAGACAATCAATGACATGTAAAACTAAAGCATATAGTAAAAAACAGAGAATGAAACCTTCAAATTTATTTCACAACCTCTTTTCCTAAGAAAAAGTTTTAGAAAATAATCTTTTATTTGGTGAAAAAACAACATATACTTAAAATTCTGCAACTGCTTTCTTTTTTCAATTTGAAAGAAAATTAAGTTAAAAACACGTATAAACATGTATAAACCAAGAGAGCCTATTTCTACATTCTAATATTTTCATCCACTTTATCTCACTTGATAGCAGCTTAGGATCTAGACAACAGAATAAACAAAACCATAACTTGTCAATTCAATGAGTGAACACTGAATCCCCCCACTATTTCTTTATTAGCCGTTATCAACAATGCTGCAATGATCATTCTTTGTACATCTGTTCTGATTTAGAATAAATTCTTGGAATGGAAAATGCTGGACCAGAACATGCAGAACTTCAGAAAGACGGAAATACCCCTGCAATTATGTGGCTATACCCATCTCTCCATACTCTAGCTAGCAATGCTGATCTTCAAATCTTTGGCCATCTGCTAGAAAAAGAATCATATCGTATCAATTTGATTAAGATATGCTAATCATGTTTTCGTATGATTAGTGGTCATTTGTCTTTCTTTTCTACCTTCCTGAACAAGAATGCTCAGGTTGTTCTGCCTACTTGTCTTTCTAAAATAAGTCTATTAAAATTTTGTCCTAAATACAACCTTTTCTCCCAATACATTGCTTTTAAACTCTATTCATGATGTACTTTTTATAGGGAGTATTACATGGAGAATATTATATCTGTAAGTGAATTAAGAGGAAGGTCCCACAGAGAACAACTTAGGCAGAGGAGAGGATTCACCACTGGGAGAGTCACCTAGGTAATTTGGGCTCAGGTCCCTTCATGACACGACTACAGACAGGCAGCATGTAGAGCAGGAAGGCAGATTATGAAGTCATACTGACCTGGGTTCATATCCTGGATTCACCACTCATTTCTTCATCTCTAAAATAAGATCATACCATCTTTCTCACATAACTATGAGAAATGTAATGTATTCATCCAATACGTTTTTTTCCTCTTCTTCCTTTTACCAAGGAATGTCTAAGGTGATATTTCTGGAAAGAAAACTCAGCCCACCTGAAACAACATGGTCTTATCCTCCTCATCTTTGGAAAGGGCTGAGGCTTGAGGGTGAAGAGCTAGAGAAAGAGAAAAAAGCCATGAGCAGGTGGTGCTTCCTAGAGCTTTCAGACATCTACACGGTAGAAATGTGTGCAGCTTTATAGACTTGTTTCTTCAAACCCAAGACAATTCCTCATTCACCCAGCTTTTTCTCTGTCCACTCCCAGCTTGAATTCTCCCTTACCCACGTCCTTTATTAACTCTTACCTCTTTCCATGTGCCTGGAGGTCAAAGTCTCCATGTTCTCTTCACCTAGGTTTCCTGAGACCAATAGCAATCTTATTTACTCTCTGATCTTCCTAAGCTGAAAAAGCAGAAGATCCAGACCTCCTTCATTCTGGAGACTGTCCAAGCTCTGACCAGGAGAGTCAGGTGGATACCTGAGACCAGAAGCACCTGTCTCCACCTTCACTGTGCCGAGCCTGATTGGTTTCCATGCTCTGAGACCTGTAGAGTCAAGAAGAAACTTTATTTTGTCTGGATCCTTTCTTCTGGGCCCCAATGTTTGGGGTCTCTACCATGGTTCATGCCCTCTGTATACTATTCATTCAGTAGTTTTTAGGACATTTACTGAGTAGCTGTGTTATATATAATCCCTACTCTGGAGAGGCCCATAGTCCAGATAGCTAAGAATGTTGCAGATGGCTGAGGATAGTCACAGAAGACTTCAGGGGGGCCTAGTAGCTGAAGTCTCACAGTGAGATACAAGGCCCTTCAGAAGGGTGGGGAGATCCCACAAACACATGGGACCTGTGCTCTGTGAAGAAAAACCTACAGTGTAAAAAAAAAACTTTATTAATGCAATACTATGGGGCTTGCAAAAAATAAAATATAAAGTCCCTGTCTTCAAGGGTCCTACAGATCAGGATACAGGTAACAACATCTTCCAAATCCTAGTTTTTAACCATTTTTGTGTCATGGACCCCTTTGGTAATTTGATGACACTTATAAATTCTACTCAGAATAATGTACATTAATGCATAAAATGAAATTCATGGAACTCTTTAAGAAGCTAGTTATACTGAAATACAACCTTCAAAAAATATTAAAACACCACATATGTACCTTTTTATTAACACATTAAATATGAGGAATGTGTCTTAACTAGTCATTTCAAAAGAATAATGAATGTAAACAATGTTTGAAATACCGATAACAGAATATAATTAAAAATCTATGACTTATATATATATAACAAAGTCACAAATACTGCTAATAATATTGTGGTTTACTGTCTACATTCATGATTAAAGAAAATGGTACTTTTCAGTTAGTCTAGTGTAAATTTTTTTCCCATTCAAGTTCATGGACCTCCTAAATTATGCCCATAGACTTCAGTTCAAGAACTCCTTTTCTAGGCTGGGTGTGGTGGCTCATACCTGTAATCACTTTGGAAGGCCAAGGCAGGAAAATTGCTTAAGCCCAGGAGTTCAAGACTAGCCCAGGCAACGAGACTTCATCTCTACAAAAAATACAAAATTAAGCCAAGTATGGTGGTACATGCCTGTAGTCCCAACTACTCATAGAGCCAAGGTGGGAGGATCTCTTTAGCCAGGTCAAGGCTATATTGAGCTGGGATTATAGCGCTGCACTCCAGCCTGAGCAAGAGTGAGACCCTGACTCAAAAAAACAAAACAAGACCTCCTTTTCTAAGTGAAATGTACCCTATTGCCACCAGACTGAATTAATCACTCTGGTATACAGCAACGCTTTGTTTAAATTTCTTGTTACTACCGTTCCCATAACTTGCTCTGGTAAGATCTCATCAAAAGAAGCAAGTTGTCTTCTATTATTTATCTTGTACACCTAGCATGGGTCTGACATACTGCATGAACATAAGCAAGTGCATCCACAGGATGTGAGGCTCCAAGGTGAACAGAACTCTTGGAATAAGCTCGGAGTTAGTCAATAGACAGTACAAAGACACTGGCACCAGCCCCTGCTCTTTCCCTCCCACCCCACTCCATCTCCACCTTGCCTGACCTGTTTTCTCTTGAGATTCAAGTATAATGGGCAAATTCAGAAAAAAAATAGATACACACACTTGGGCTGTCTACTGTAAGATACTCCCTGGATTTGATTGCTTCAGGAGCACAAATACCCATCTTTCCTCGAACCATCTGTACTAGACCTTTGCATAGCCCACGGTGACACTTTTCTCTCACTCCTTGCACTGCCCTGCACTGGGGATTACTGACACTACTCTCTGACACAAATGTGAAATACTGGACAAAGTGCTGCCCTCCTTTATGGAGGGCAAAGGTGAAAAGCAGAGGCCAGATCTGCAGCAAGGCCTTCACACCAGTGCCACCTAAACTCAGATCTTCAGGTTCCTCCAGGACTATGCTTTGCAAATTTTAGCAGGCTTAAAAATCAGCATGAGTCCTAGGCGTGGTGGCTCACATCTGTAATCCCTGCACTCTGGGAGGCTGGATGGGAGGGTTGCTTGAGTCTAGGAGTTCAAGACCAGCCTAGGCAACATAGCAAGACTGTCTCTACAAACAATAAAAAAAAAGATTAGCTGAGCGTGGTGGCACATGCCTATAGTCCTAGCTACATCAGTACGCTAAGGCAGAAGGATCACCTAAGCCCAGGAGGTCGACGCTGCAGTGAGCCATGATCAGGTCACTGTACAACAACCTGGGCAACACAGCAAGACCCTGACTCAAAAAATAATAAAGATTAAAAAAGTCAGGCCTGGCCCCGTGGCTCAGCCTGTAAACCCAGCACTTTAGGAGGCCAAGGCAAGTGGATTGCCTGAGCCCGCGGGTTCAAGACCAGCCTGGGCAACTTGACGAGACTTCATCTCTAAAATTAAAAAAAAAAATAGCCAGGCATGGTAGCGCGCACCTATAGTTCCAGCTCCTTGGAAGGCTGAGGCCGAAGGATCACAGGAACCCAACAGGTCGACACTGGGGTGACCATGAGTAAGCCACTGCACTCCAGCCTGGGCGACAGAGTGAGATTCTAACTAAAAAAAAAAAAACCAAAAACAAATCAGCATGAACAATTATGAAAACAGATTGCCCCTTTGGGAGGCTGAAGTGAGTGGATTGCCTGAGCCCGCGGGTTCGAGACCCACCTGGGCAGGCGAGACCTCATC